CGAGTCCAGAGAAGATGAGCTGGCGATCGATGTCGACCTGTACAGTCTATCGCCTTATAAGGTTCCCTAAATTCCCTTAAAGTAGTTCACCCCAAATTTAAACTGGTGTTTCATAAGCTATCCGTTAGGGAAAATAATGCCCAAAAGATTTGCATGCCTACAGTAAGAAATGTCAATCATACTGCATGCGTTATGCTGCATGTGTAAAGATGTAAAATGAAGTTGTAAATGAAATAAGTCGTGTTTTAAAGCAGATTATCGGTTACTTTCAAAGGGTACATCAAAAAAATGATACTGGAATAATAAATATTGCAATAAGCTTCTAGATGCAAATTTTGATCATTTTTACTGTAACAGTTTTAGTGGTACTATGAACCATAGAGAATGAGCTGTCCTGCTGCACCATCTGCCCAGTTTGAATCATCACTTTAAAATCATTTTTAGGGGTGTGTTTAATTTGTCAGGAGATGATCATGATGGGAGATGATACATAGTGCTAAGAATGTTAACAACGTTTGAAAATGTAGTACTGTACTATTATATTTATTTTATGGACCCATGAACTTGATGTGTGTGGCAGATTACAATAGCTTTGTCTAGAGCAGTGCTTTCCAGACATGTCCTGGAGGCCCCCCAGCACTGCACATCTCGGATGTCTCCCATATTGGAAACATCCAATATATGGTGCATTCAAATCCTCCTGGGAAGTTTGTATTTACAAGTTGGGAAGTTGTAATTACAATGTTGTGCGGTCAAGAAGCCGATTCTTTTTTTAACTTGACTTGAATGCTCAATTTGACCTTGCAGTCTTTAATAATGAGCTGATAAGTTGAATCGGGTGTGGAGACATTCAAACTATGCACAGTTGGGGGGCCTACAGGAAGCATTGGTCTAGATCATTGACTCCCAATCCTGGTCCCAAAGAACCCCAACACTTTATGTTTTTGATGTCTCTCTTGTGTAACACACAAATTTGAGGTTTTGGAGCAGGGGTCATAACTTGACTTGAATGCTCAATTTGACCTTGCAGTCTTTAATAATGAGCTGATGAGTTGAATCGGGTGTGGAGACATTCAAACTATGCACAGTTGGGGGGCCTACAGGAAGCATTGGTCTAGATCAGGGATCCTCAAATCTGGCCCACGAGATCCACTTTCCTGCAGAGTTTAGCTCTAACCCTAATCAAACACACCTGAGCATGCTAATCAATGTCTTCAGGATCATTAGAAAATCACAGGTAGGTGAGTTTGATCAGGGTTGGAGCTAAACTCTGCAGCGCATTGGACCTCCAGGGCAAGATTTGAGGAACCCTGGTCTAGATCATTGACTCCCAATCCTGGTCCCAAAGAACCCCAACACTTTATGTTTTTGATATCTCTCTTGTGTAACACACATATTTGAGGTTTTGGAGCAGGGGTCACCAAACTTGGTCCTGGAGGTCCGGTGTCCTGCAGAGTTTAGCTCCAACTTGCCTCAACACACCTGCCTGGAAGTTTCAAGTATACCTAGGAAGACCTTGATTAGCTGGTTCAGGTGTGTTTGATTAGGGTTGGAGCTAAACTCTGTAGGACACCGGCCCTCCAGGACCGAGTTTGGTGACCCCTGTTTTGGAGTGTTTACTTATGAGCTGATGAGTTGAATCAGGTGTGATTGATTAGGGAGTGGGATTGATGAGGTTCTCCAGGACCGGGATTGGGAATCACTGGTCTAGATCATTTTCAAGGTTGTTAAATATGACTCTGGACTTGTAGAACTTATGTCTACAAATGAAAAGGAAAAGAAATGTGTAAATGAAATGGAAAAACAAAATGTCCTTTTGCATGATCTGCTCATTTTGTCTCATACAGCACAAAGAACAAGAGCACTCCAACCTAGTCATAATCAAAGAGGAATGTTTTGAAGTAGACACTTATCCCAGTTTTACAGGTAATGTTCAAAATTTCTAGTAGATCTTTAATTAGTAAGGTTTAATTTTGGTGCATCATGTTGATTTGAACTATTTTACATACTTCGATAGTGAAAACACCCCAAGCTTCAAGAGGACAGCTGCTATCTTCTGCATATGAGCCGCTGGCAGACTTCAAAAGTTTTGATGGCCATTTTGTGTCTGGTGAATTTTCAGAGATATCAGAAATACAAAACACGTCCTCCGATTCATCAGACAAACTCTCTACAAAAACCTCTATCGATGACACTGTTGACCAGTTAATAGCACCAATAGAGGATCCATTGGAATTTGATGGTCACTCTATACTCAACCAATTTTCAGTAGAGCACAATGGCCAGTTTCCCTCTGAGGCTCAGGAGGATGGAGAAGCACGGGAAATATATGAGGATGCTGCAACCACGACAGAACATTGCAAAAAGAGAGTAAAGATACAGAAACCGCCAAACAACTTCAGTTGCTATGATGGCGGGAAGGCGTTTCTACGGCAAAATGCTGCCAAAAACCGTCTCAGAAAACATCGATTTTCAAAGTTGAAACCAAACGAAAAGTTTCGGTGTGATGTCTGCGGGAGATGTTTTCATTCTAACACCAATCTCTCGGTTCACTATTTGGTCCACACAGGGGAAAGACCCAATAAATGCAGTTTTTGTGGAAAAGGCTTCTCCCAGAAAGGAAATTTACAAGTTCATGAACGCATCCACAGAGGAGAGAGACCTTTTAGTTGTGTCACCTGCGGAAGGAGTTTCACCCAGAAAGTTTGTCTACGAAATCACGAACGTATCCACAGAGGAGAACGACCTTTTACTTGTATAACCTGCGGAAAGGGTTTCACCCAGAAAGTCACCCTCCAACAACACCTCATTGTCCATGACAGAACGGCTAAACCAGTCAGGAGGAAACCAAGGAAAAATCACCGTGATATAAATTATAGCTTTATGTCACACACACACACACACACACACACACACACACACAGGCGAAGATGTTCCGACCATTCACACATCAGTTTCTAAATACCCGTCAATTCTGTGACATTCACCAGAAATGACCTCTAAACGCCAGCGCCTTCTGCGTTTTTGTAAACATGGAGGGGTATACGCGGTCAGTGTTTGTGTTGAAGTTTTCATTTTTGTGTCAAATGTTCACATTTATGCAGCTGTTAGACGACGTTAGACATTTCTTTGATTTTCTGTCAGCAGCGTGGAAGTGTCATCTGACCTGCGTCAGAAAGTTAATGATTGAGGAGACGTCTTACGTCTTACGTCAGCGCGTTCTGAACTCGTACGTGCTCAAACCGGTAATCTCGTTCTGCATTCACACCGAGCACATTACTGGTAATATTACAACTTCTCATACCGGTAAAGTGCCAGAACGAATTTACCAATGTTTTTATAAAGGTCCTGTTCACACATGATATCTTAATGGTAATTTTACCGTGATTTACCAGTAAAGACTGTATGTGTGAAAGGGGCTATAGTCATAACAGACAAAGCCAGTCACTTGTCACCGCCTTGTGATGTAACCTAAAGAAAGAGGCACTGAATGTATTTATTCTAGTGAATGGACTAAACGATTCCGGTCGTCGACATATACAGAAATAGTCCCCCTGGAGTAAGGTTAAAGTCTTATTCAAGGGCACAATGATGAAGGGCCGCCCACTGCAGGCTTTGAACCTACAGCTTTAATCAAACCACAGAGTCATTTGTCGCGCATAATAAGTCAAGTACCTGTAAATCCCGGGTGGCTGGATGGCGCTTCAGTCCCGTTCATCTCTCCAGCGCTTTTCCGCGTACATTGAAGTTCGTTCTCCAGAAAATGACATTTCTTTTTCAGAGATTCGTTTTCGTTTGTACAGCGTGAAATCTCTAGTCGCAGCAACAAAGAATTCTCCTCGAAAAGTTTGCCTATTTCAACAACAGCTGTTTTTGCCAACATTTCCATTATGGATGTTAACTGCGTCTGAAAATCGGCAGTATTCATGATGTCCGTCGCTTACGGGACCATTTATTAGTGATGCGACGTTATATTGTACACACCCGTCGTTCTGTCTGACGGATCGCTATCGTCTCTGCGTAGAGCTGCTTTTATATTCTCAACACTATTCAGTTTATTTCCGAGGATAGAATCATAGCATATCTAGCATTTTGGAGAATAGGATCATGGGATGGATTACCGTAAAGCATAGTGTAGAGAGCACACTTGATTTACACATTTTGATTGGTCGCATCCAAATCGGTTAGGGCCAATAGTACCTTGGCCCTGTGCATTTGTGTTAGCGTTCTGATTGGAATTATTTTTTTTATTTAAAAAAAATGGCTAAAATTGTGTTGCTGGCACACTCTGGAGATATATAGTAAGTGGCTGCTAGGGTTTTCTGTAGTTGCTCTCTGGCCCACATCAAACAAGCCCACCTTATCTCTCTTTGATATTCTTATTTCTAAATTTGACACAAGTCCCTTTTTTAAGGTAAGTCTGTAAGGCTCTTTCATCCAATTCATCATCTGTCTGACAAATATTAATTTCGAGTCTTAGTAAATATCACGCCTCTCCTCAACAAGCTGTAACATTGGTAAGCACAGCTTTTACCACGTTCTATGGTACAAAAAGTGTTGAAATTCACACTACTGAGAAAAACACTCATCAGGGTTCAAATTAGGCTGGGAACATCTTTCATAGGTTTGTTTTTTGGTTTGTCTCTGTACATTTAATTGTACTTGGTCACCCAAATGTACACTGTTAAGACTTTTCCATTTTTTACCAGCAGGTACAGTAAAAATGACAGTACTGTTTCAATTACATACAGTAAAAAACATATTCAAAAACAATCTACTTGTAGCTATTGTGTCACTAGTATATTGTATCACTGTAATCATTTTATCCTTATTAATCATATTATAAAAACACATTAGTTGATACTTTTTTTATTGTTGCACAAATGACTTAAATGAATGTAATAAAATATTTATAATACACACATTCCAGCAACATTCAAATAGAACAGTACAAGTATCACAAGGTAAAAAAATTTCACATAAGTAGTAACCCATCGTAGTAGTAGTATTCAGTGCAGGGCCAGGATGAAGACAATCCTGGAACACAAAAACATTTTTGATTAAAGTCACTGTTACTCTCAGAACACCCATAGTTACATTTAAGTGTTTAATCACATACCTTCAATAACAAAAGACAAGTTTCACTTAAAAATTCCACACAAAAAAAAATTCAACTTCATAAAACTGCTTGCACTTACTTAATTGGATGTTTTCCACTCGAATTCTGAAAGCCTCTGCATAAACGTAGCCACGCGGGTATTAAAGTTCTGGGGTTTCCTTTGGACAGCTGAACCCGTCCTACGGCTTGTACCTGATTTTGAGGTACATTTAGTCCCCTCAGGATTAATCCTTACGAAGAACCTAAAGAACAGTAGATACATTTTTAAACAAAACATCAATTTCACAAGGCCTACAACTATGTCAGTCACTGAAACAGTTTAAAAGGGGGTATAATAGGTTTCCTATCTTATATAAGTTGCAGCACACCCTAAACAGGGACCCATAACCTTGTTTATCTAGTCCTCTTAAAGGTAGATTTCAGAGAGGCTAGCAATAGCAAGCTAGCTTTGAAAGCATAAGATCCCACCCTCCCAGCAAATCACTCTCCAAAGCCACGCCTCCTCCAAAACACATGAACGCACACAGACAGAGCAGAGGTTAACCAGCGATGAAAGATGGCATTGGTGAAGGATTGAATGCAACGCTGTCAGAGTACCTCATGTCTCATTCACCGGTGAGAAAACATTACAGTACAAAGCGCATAATATTACAATAATAACGCCTTCCATTCTCACTCGGCCTGCAATAGCATAATGGAACATTTTATGGTCCTATGCCTTCCACAGACGATAAAAATACATATAAATACATTTAGACCACTTAACTTAGTGATAGCTATTGAGATGTCAAAAGACTTTCAAAAAGCATAACAAAAATTTTTTTTGAACCAAATCACCTACCCTGCCTTTAAATGATTATATTAGTGTTAATAATAGTGTTAAAAGCATTAAATAGTTTCTGGTGAATAATGTATAATTTATCAACAGAAATCAACAAGTTTAATTGCAAGTTACAGTATATAGTTGCATCCACAAACTATTTTATTTCCATAAGCTTAAGTATTTCTGATCCAAAAGAGACCAAAGTAAAATAACAAAAAGTGTTAATAATAGTGTTAAAAGCATTAAATAGTTTCTGGTGAATAATGTATAATTTATCAACAGAAATCAACAAGTTTAATTGCAAGTTACAGTATATAGTTGCATCCACAAACTATTTTATTTCCAAAAGCTTAAGTATTTCTGATCCAAAAGAGACCAAAGTAAAAAAACAAAAGAAAGGGAGTAAGATCAAAAAAAAAAAAAAAAAAAGTCAAACAGGATGAGTATCCTCAACACTCACCTCTGAATGAGCTCCAGGGTGGTGCTGGCTGACTCCTGGTACTCGATATTAAAAACATAGAAGCACACAAAGAACACAGACAATGCCGCTACAAAGTCCAGCTGGTCTTCTATAGAATGTGTTACTCTGCCCTCAATACTGATAAACCACTTGGACGAAGTCAGCAACGTCTCTCCTGAAATATGAAGAATCACTGTAAATATATGTCCAAGTACAAAACTAACATTTGTAGTGTAGCAATATCTTACCAAGCATGATGAGCCGGGGAGTTGCCGGTAAGCTAATTTCATTTTCGATGGACATCTTGGTAGAAGTTTCCTTGAAAGCAGAACATAAGAACATTTTAACACTCAGCTTTGTCAAAATCCCCTTCAAAACTTTAGTAGAACTGTAACATTTCATAGTTACTGACATCTGCTAAGATGAACACAGCATTGTCCTTTTCCTTAAAGTATTTCATCATTAACAGGATGGCTGATATGGCTATCCTGTTATTATCGGTTGCATTGGTGTCGTCGATCTCACTTAGCATACTCTGGATCTCTTCACTCCACTTCAGTCTCTGTCTACTGAAGTAGTTCAGTATTCTCTTGGATTTAACAATAAGAGTTTCGTTAAAGCGGCTTCTGATGTCAATGCCAGTCAGGATTTTGAAGTGCCTGCAAAGGCCCCTTTGGGTGAACAGGAACGGCCAATGCCCCTCTATCTCACTGATGGTAGGAGGGGGGCATGAGTTGATCATGTGGCGCTGGTAAACATATGTCTGCTGCATTAAGTCGTCTACGTTGGGCAACTCAGCTGCCTTTGGGCCTGCAGACTGAAAAATCTCTGCCGCAACCTTCCTCTTCATTTCAAGAGATTCTGCTGTCTCTCCTTCTGGGACAGAGGAAGGCTGCCAATTGATGCATCCGTAACTGTCCACTTTACATCTGACTTTTTTCATAGTGTAGCCATCCTGTTCTTCAGCTCTTTTCATTGATGGTCTTCTAGGTCGACGAATCCTGTGTTCCAAAACATCTCTATTCACATGTTCTACCCTAGTTTTTAGTTGCCTTTGTAAGCAACTGAAGCCATTTCCGAGTTGTTCTCCTTCCTCAGAAATGTCTCCAAATGTCAGCGGATATATAGACACGATGTTTCGTGCAACTTCCCCACAGGCGGCTAAGTTTGGGTTTGGACAGTGGGCTTGCATGGCTGCCACAACGATCCTAACAAACTCCCTTCTCGGTCCTGGTCGAGCCCTCTCTCCAGTAGATGTTGCCTGAACAAGAGCTGCTGGCATGCGTTCCCAAGGAACCTGGAAACTTCTAACCCAGTTGGACTTGATGAAGGAAGGAATGAAGGGCTGTTCATGAAGGGACTCGTTTGATGATAATGGAGTGAGCGTCATCTCGTTAGGCATTTCATCCACTTGTCCATTGGATTCTTGGGGGAAAAAATTATGAAAAGAGATACAAAGAAATTGAAATATGTTGATGGGCCAACAAAGTACCTTGTTCACAGGCCTCTTAATCATCATTGATTAGTAAATGTTTGCTATACTGTAAGAAAAATATCCATATTTCCGATGTAATAAACACTTTTCTCTCACTTCTGCTGAC